GAAATAATGAAGATAAAGCCGGAATCATCAAACTGGAAAACAGACAGATTACAGAAAATATGAATTAACAAAATGGAAAACTAATACTCTGAAATGATCAACAATTTTGTCAAACTCTTAGCTAGAAAAAGAAAAGTCCTTTCTATTAACTAGTGCTTGATCAACTAGACATAAACATGGAAAAACAATGAATACCTACTCCACAAAAATGAAATCAAAATGAATCACAGCCCTAAGGTAAAACCAAAATCTACAAAACTTTTAAAAAGAAAGCATAGACATAAATTGTCATGGCCTTAAATTAAACAATAATTTTTTCAGAAAAAAACACTAATAGTATAATATGTAAAAGTCCAGTTCGATAAATTTAATAAACTAGACTACAGCAAAATTATAATTCTTTGCTTTTGAAAATTCGAACTTAAGAAATCAAAGAAAAATATTTATTCCACAGAATAGTACTTATATATCCACACAATCTTCAAAAACCTTCGCAGAGGTTTTTTGTCATAGTAGTCAATAACTAAAAACACATAAAATGTCCATCAATAGGTACTAGATAAACAAACTCTGTTGTATCTGTATGATGTAATAACAGGAACAAGTAGTATAAATTATTGATGAACACATCCACATGCCAATGTCTGCCAGCTGTGAAAGCTCAGCAGAGACAATTCAAATAATGTGAGAAAATATTTGCAAACCACACATCTGATAAAGGGTTAATATCTGAAATATACAAAGAACTCAAACAAATCAATATCAAGAAAACAACCTGATTTTAAAATGGGCAAATTATCTTTAACTCATATTTCTCAAAAGAAGACATACAAATGGCCGGCAAGTACATAAAAAAGTGCCCAGCATCACTACTCATTAGGGGAATGCAAATTAAAACCACAGTGAGAAATCACTTCATGAGAATGGCCTTATTGAAAGAGATGAACAATAACAAGTATTGAAGAGGAAGTAGATAAAAAGGAACACTGTTGTTGGGAATGCAAATTAACATGGCCATCATAGAAAATGGTATAAAAGTTCCTCCCAAAAAGAAAATGAGAACCACCGTATAATTCAGGAACCCTTTGTCTGGGTTTATACCAAAAGGAAAAGAAATCTATACCTGGTAAAGGTGTCTGTAGTCCCATGTTCATGACAGTATTATTCACAACAGCCTAGATATGGAATCAACCTAAACGTCCATCAGTAATGAAAGGATAAAGGAAATGTGGTATAGATACAGAGTGGAATGCTATTGACCATATAAAAATGATAAATCTTGTCATTTGCACAACATGGATGAATCTAGAGGACATCGTGTTTACTGAAATAAGCCAGACACAGAAAGACAACTACCTCATAATCTTCCTTAACTGTGGAAGCTTATAAAGTTTAACTCACAGAAACAGAGAGTAAAATTACGTCAGCAGAGGCTGGGGTGGGTGCACGGGGAGGAAGGAAATGGGGTGTTATTGATCAAAGGGTAGACAGGCAGATAGACAGGAGAAATAGGTTTTGAGGGTTATTGCACAGCTGGATCACTACAGTCAATAATAATGTGTTTTTCAAAGTAACTAAGAGTAAATTTTAAATGTCTCACCATAAAAATAATAGGTAGGTGAGGTAATGGATATGTTAATGAGCTTAACTGAATCATTTAACACTACATACATATAACAAAAATCACATTGTACCCCATAAATGTATGCAATTATTGTTTGTCAATCAAAACTAATGTTAATGATATATTTTTAACAGCATCACTCTTGTACACCTTAAATATACACAATTCTTATTTGTCAACTATACCTAAATAAAAGTAAGTAAGTATATTTCAAAGACAATAAAATAAATTAAAAATAATACTGCATAATTCCATGTATATCCATTCTTACATGTAAATGTAAACTAAATTATAGTGATCAAAAGTAGGTAAATAGATGCCTAGGGATAATTGTGAAAAGGAGGGACAGATTTTAAAGTGACTTGAGAAAATTCTTGAGGGTGGTGTAAATGTTTATCTTGAAGATTATGATAGATTTGGTGGTGTATACACAGGTCAAAACTCATCATATTTTACATGATATATGGGCTTTTATTGTACTTAAATATATTTGAATAATGTCTTAAAACAGATGATACTTATTTTCCTAATTATCCCCACTCAAGTAGAATAAATTTAAGTGTTTCATTTTGGAAAAAAAGGAAAAATAATCAAGTGTTATCAGAGCCATTCAACTCATTTTCAACAATATTTGCAGAAAAATAATGTTTAGGGAAAACAAAAAGTAGTTACATTTAAACGATAGGTTAATAGTAAGAAAAATATTTTTTTTCAAAGTATATTAACCTAGTTACCCTCTAATTAACATGGTGGCAATAATAATCTCAGGGGATAGTCAAAGAATTCTCAAAACATCCTTTTACAAATCAAGACCTTTCATCCCTGTTTAAAAAAGATAAACTAAACTACATAATTTTCTGGTGAGCTTAAGTCTACACATTTACCTCAGAATAATTAAGCAGAAACATAAACCAATATTTAAACCTATAAAGAAGGAATGCAATGTGATCCAAAGCAACTTGTACTTTGTTAGAAATCAGTCCTTGAAAAATAAAGTATCCAATGTACATTTTTGTGTTAGTTATTAATTCATGGTATGAATAGATTACAACAGCAGATAATTCAAATTGTAATATACAGTTGTTTGTTTATACCATTATTTTCTACCTAGCTAAAACCAATAATGAAAAATCTCATGTAATTATATATCAGCATTTTACATTATCTTGATATTTTCTTCATTCTCACTTTGAAATCTAAATACATGCTGCGGTTTAATGTAAACTCCAGTTGATGGTAGACTTCTAATAAAGGCGGAGCTATGTTTTATTCATCTTGGTGTCCATTATCACTGAGCACAAAACCTGAAGCTTAACGTGGACCTAGTATGGTTTTTAAAACCGTTTCCAATCAAGTTTTACAACATAAACATATATAAATTATAATCTTAGTTTAGGTTTTCATTTGTTTTATACAAATACCTATGCTGTCATGCATGGACAGTCATTCAGAAATCCCAGGGCATCTTTGGAGAATGTGGATACGCTTGAATAAAAGTATCTTTAAATGCTTGAGTATAAATAGCTCCCAAGAGTCTCTTCTTTAAACCCTTTTATTTTATAACTAAGGAAATTGAGGACCCAGGGACACATAACACACTATTAATTAGCATATTAGCTAGTCCTATTATTCTGATACTAGCACATCTTACATGAGCCACTCTGCCTTATTGTGCTTTGGAAATATCAACAGTGCTCATTTCTCATAAACTCCACTTTTCTGTGTACCTGCAACAGAGATTTAGTACTAATCCTATGATATATCAAATGTTTTAAAATATAAGTGAAATGCAAAGAAGAAAAGCCCTAAATACAGTTTCATTAAGATAATGTGTTGCCTAGGACTTTTGTAGGACAGTGGAAGAGACCAGGAGGTCTCATATAAATCATATCTTGGCATTCCTAAGGTTTTCTTTTATTCATTTAGATTCACATTTTAAAAAATCATAAAGTAAATTTTGGGTTAAAAATACAAATTTTAATTAAAAATATAACAAATGTACTGTAAATGTGTAAAGTATTTATAATTTGCTAATGATGTTGTTGATCTGAAAAAGAAATATACTGTAACAATGGAAAAAAAGCAGAAAAAACTATCAGAGGAAAAAGCTAAATAAGTTATTGGCATCACTTCCTCCTTTGTGTGTTCTCAATATTATCAATGCTTTTCGTTTTTCTGTTTTTTAGAAAGTGTGAGGGAGATAAAGTGCCTTTTTTAGAAGCTGCCTAATATCAGCAAATGAAGTCAGTAATTTGTGTCAGAATGAAGTTGCCTTCTATTGTTGACTACCTTTCATAATCCTTTTTTCCTTTAGAAGTTTCTGATTGGTTTTTCCATGAATTTCTTGACAAGCACAGTCTATAAAAATGTAAAATAATATAGATAACTTATGTGTATTCTTGAGAAAATATTTTCTTTCTGAAGGCATTCTTGATAAAAGAATGCATCTTGTTTCACAGTTACCATTGCATTCTATCAATATTAATGTACTAGACATGCTCCAATAGAAATACTTTGTCAATAAGAATATCTCATACATTCCACTAAGAACAGCTATGTCCTTTCAAGCATCAGAGACTTTCCAATATTGATGCTTCATAAATATTTATTGAGAACGATGTTAAGTTTCTTCCTTTTTAAATAGCATGTATACCAAATTATTTTTAAATTCCACGCAGTGACCAGCGGGGTTTTGTGAAAGCTTGACTTACATTAGCCCTCCCATTTCCCAAATCTCACATAGTTATGTACATTTTTTAATTTATTTTAAAAACTATCCTCTTCATGGTCCTTTCTTCCAGACAGAAAATAAACACTATTTTGATAAGATATCATATGAGTACATTTCACTGCATTTAAAATACTATTTATAGTTTCGGAAAATGTAAAATAGCGTAACAATTTGAATAAGATATGTAAACACTACATATCTGAGACATAATCATAAATATTATAAAGAAATAAAAAAAATTTAAAGTGATATTGACCAATTACTGATAATTAATATTTTTCAGTTTATATTGTGTTTTGAGTTCAATGTTGCAAAAAAAGAAAGTCACCATTTTCAGAAAAAGCAGTATCAAAATGATGAAATATACAGCACTGTGGAATGTCTCGTAATATCCACTAGATGTCTCCAATAACTGACTGAATGATTTTACTATATTTTCTCTAAAGCTATGCATTAAATACTGAAACATGAACTACATATATATTTTGGTTTTCCTCTAAAAATCATATTTTAGATATGCATTAAAGCTATGCATTAAATACTGAAACATGAACTACATATATATTTTGGTTTTCCTCTAAAAATCATATTTTTTCAAAGCACACAAAGTTCTTTTAATGAAAATACAAAAGGAAAGCAACTTACATTCAATATCAAGGTACATGCTCTTTTGGTGCCCTCCAATTCTACTTGCAGCTTCACAGTCATATCTCCCTGAATCTGACAACTTCACATCTTTAATATGCAGTGACGAGCTTCCATGCTGCCCTTTGACTTCGATACGGCCGTCTGGGCTCTGTTTACATCGATTCAGGAAAAAGAAAGATTTTATGCTTGTGTATGCAAAATGGTGACCAAACATATAACATTATGTTACTTCCTATGTTTCTCTGGCAAACAGAAAAAAGAAACCATTCCTGATGTAGAAAGTATTTCTTGTATAGCTAAGAATAAGTTTTTTTAAAAAAGCACACTTTTTACATTCTCATAGCTTCAGGAAGGTTTCATGTACCCTGGCTGTATAATGATAAAAAGCATTTCAGTGACTCCAAATAAAACCCAATCACTCAGCCTGATGTTTAAAGACCTCTCATGTGGTATCACCTTTCTGTCCAAGTGCACTTTACAATTTAGATGTCATCAATTCCAATTATTTTGAATTACTTGTACTCTCCACAATATCCTGTGCTTTGAATAAATACTCTTCACAGATCTGTTTTACACTTTTTCCCTTTTCTTCTCTCTGTATTTACATGGCAACATCCTACTTGCCTTTGAGTTACTGGCAAATTTTCATATTATATTAAAAATAGTTCCTGATTGCCTAAATAAATAATTATGACTTATTTGAACTACATACTTTTCTTGGAATAAATTGCTTTTACTGAAGTCTTGTTGGAACTTCAGATTTCATCCCATAGTGTGATAGTATAGTTGAACAAATGTGAGAAAATATTTATGGTACTTCATGTAAAAGTCATTTAAACTTCTAGGACAGAAACATTATATTCCAATATTTTTAGAAAGCAAATTATGTTATAGTAAAATTTACATGCAGTTGCATAAAGAAAATGTACTCCTGCAGCTATTATTTACTATGGGTTAAACATTTGTACTTAATTAACTTTATTGGAATATAACAATGAAATACATTATTAACAATGCAAAGCAAATTATTCATTTTTATAAAGAAAATGTAATTATTTCACAGTATTAAAAAGTAAATTTTAAAGTTACATGATCTTTGCTTGAAAATAAACATGTTCTCTTGTAATTACCTGTTATATATGATAAGGTTTTGACTTGTGAAAAACTACTGGTGTATATAGATGTTATCAGTACAAATGTTGGCATTTAAAAGTTATTATCAATATACCTGAAATTATTAATTTAAATTCTGGAAAAACAGGCACTTTGCCCAAGTGTGTGAGTCCTAGGAAAATTAGAAGCCATTCTCAGAATCACCATTGGCTCTGTAATGATGCGCAACATGCATTTGAGTCAAATACTTGCACTAAAAGTCCAGGGTCATTTTTTTTTTTTCCGTTTCTGACATTCTAAAGGACATGTCTCTCTTTGTGCTACAGAAACACATTACAAATATCGAAAGAAAATTCATTTATATCTTGGCTCTGATTCAACACCTACTGAAGATTCATTTAAGGCATCTGATCCTTGATTGAGACAGGTTAATGGGCATTTTAGCTGTCTGTCTAGTATTTCCAGGTTCTATCACTGAATTAAGTAAGATGATTAGAAAGCAAAGTGTCTGACTGTACATTATTATTCCATCCTTTACAAAAACGCACTCTCTGAAATTTGATTTGATGTTATGTTCTTTGCCTTTCTAGAAGATCAATTTAAGAACCGCTTACTTAAACGGTTTTTCAATATTTTAAAAATATGATTATTTTTAGAGTTTATTGTCCTTTCAAAAATCCCTTAATCTATGTGATAACCACTTCCTGAGCTTATTTCCAACATAAAGTTTTTTTTTACTATTTTAATTGTCAAACAATTGAAATTATATAGTGTGTCATGTTTATAGGTTATTTTTTGTGACCTCACCTGACTAGACATTTATTGCCAAATTTAGAATCTGATTATAGCTCACAGCATATTTGAGGTGGCCAGTATTACAGAACTTTCTTTTCTTTCCACTGTGTCATGGAACATTTTTAGAACCATTAACTCCTTTGGCCTTTTGGGAGATTGATGGATCATGTCACTTAACCATTCAACAATTATTTTGTGTCAGTGTGTGTGTGTGTTTGTGTGCGTGCGCACATGCATTTTACAATAAGCAGCCAGGCACTGGAATGCAGTGCTGAGTGAACTGTAATAGTTTATATCCTTGGTGGCATTAAAGTTAAACAAATAAGATAGATACTAATTTTACAGTACAATACAAATAAATGTGAAAAGTACCATGTAGGCAAACTGTATCTTTCTAGGAGTAAGTGGAGGAATGGGGTAGGTATGTTTCCTGATAAACCAAAGTGTGGATTGTGATCTGTAAACAGTGAAAGAAGGGTGGTGTTGAGGAAAGGAATTCCAGGCAGATGCCCTAAGAGGACTTAAGAAAGAAGTGAGAGAAGCAAGAATATGATCAGAAGAGAGTGGGGTCATGAGGTTCTCCTGATGATGGACAGACAAATAGGGACCACAGGCAGAACCCAAGATCAATGCAGATCCACAAAAGAATATGCACCCCAGGTGGACCCCTGCTTTAGATATTCTGTTTGCCTCATTTCTAATGACATTATTTCTCTGATGAGTAAGTAAACTGAACTTCGAATACTTTGAGGTAAAGACAATGCATAACTGCTAAATATGTAGACAGAAAAACCAACACTCTCCAAAAGTTATTAGAATTAATTCATCCAAACTACCTTCCCAAAATTGTTTTAATATTATATCACATCCACCAGTTTCTACAGTCATACTAAGAATTTTAAACAGAAATACTGTTTTCCCTCCCTGTAAGATTCTTCTATCTACTACTAGCAATAATGATATTTCCTCTGGGTTTGCTCCTAGCCTTCTAATCTTCTTCTTATTTCAATTTCATGAGCTGACCTCTTGTATAATTACCCTTTCTCCTGGCGGTGTAAATGATGTCAGAAAGATAAATATATGCAATCAAAGTTTTTCACTTTGGTAGTTTCCTCATTAGGTCCTGGTGTCTTCCTCTTTTCTTTGATAATAAAATCAAAAATTTATTCAACAAATAGGAATTGAATGTAATAATGATAAAAGGCAATACATACCTATGACAAATTATACTTGTCAGACAACATCCAAAAAGCTTTACATGTACTAGTCTATTTAATCTCCATGATATCACGATGAGGTTGAGGCTAGTATCTCCATTTTAAGATTAGGAAATTGAGACACAGAAATATTCAGTAACTAGCCCACGTCCCACAGCGTATAAGCTTTAGCAGCTGAATGCCCAGGTTGTCTGGCCCTGGAGTTCATGTTTAATTATTTTTGATATATGATTTACCACCTGAGTAACAACTGTGAGGTTGAACTATGTATGTACCGCAGCTATGTAACAGACATTTAGCTGGGTTCTGGGGCTAGAAATATGCTTGCATTCAAATTGAAAAGTGGACATTTTTTGCCTACTAAATGTGTTTATTTCATTAGTGATTTTTGTAATTTTTATTTTTAAAATATGTGATTCAATTTAAAATGAGGATTTCAAACACCAAAACATGCCAATAAGATATTTTAAACATGTGATGGCATGTACAATATTTGGTTTCAAAAATTAGACACAAAACATTTATTTTCGATGCTTTAATGGGAATCAATAAAGTAGCATGTTTACTTGTACATATCTAAAAAAGAAAAATGGATAAGAAAAGCAAAGCCCTTGGTCTCTCAGCTCATAAGGATCAGAGGAAAAAATTACAAATTATAATGCACACTGATATAGATGACATTCAGAAAGGAAACCTAATTTGGTAGACAAACGTGAGGAAGAGTTTCTTGTAGGTATTTATGTCAAATGGAAGGACAAGTCATAATGATAAGTCAGGAACTGTACTGGCTATGGAATTTTAAAGGTCAACTGCAAAATTAAACATGGGGGTTTCTATTCAAAATCTATTAAAATGTCAAGATGATGACCGCAGCATATTAGCCTAAACTTGGGGTCCTTCAGAGTGTGGAACCTGTGCAGTTGCACAGGTTGTACCCCTCCAAAGTCAGTCCTCACCAAGAAAAAAGTAAGAAAAGTAGGATTAAAATGGGAACTACGTGGGCTTGAACTTGAAGGGAAAAAATGCTGTATTGAAAGAGTTTAAAGGAGCTCACTGGAGCTATCAAATTAAATAAGAAGTGGAAGGGGTAAGATATGAAAGAGTTAGAGAAACAAACAAGACTACAATAAGAAGTACCAAAGCCAAAGAAAGACCAATAAGATCAAGAGAAGATGCTGAAAATCATTAGCCATCAAGGACATTTAAATCAAAACCGTGATACTACTTTGCATTCACTGGAGTGGGTATGATGAAAAAGGCAGATGTTAACACATGTTGGCCAGGATGTGAAGAAACTGGCACTCTCATGCGCTGTGAGTGGGAATGTAAAACGGTGCAGATGTTTTGGATAAAATATTTGACGGTTCCTCCAAATGTTAAACAGAGAGTTGCAGTTACATTCCACAGAGAAATGACGATGTATGTCCACACAACAACTTGTACATAAATGCTAATAACAGCATTATTAATAATGCCAAAAAGCATAAACAACTGAAATGCCTATTCACTGGTTCATGGATTCAAACAAACGAGTGGTGTATATATATACAAAGGAATATTATTTGGCAAAAACAAAAAACAAAACAAAAACAAAACAAAAACGAAATGAAGTACTCACACATGCTTCAACATGGATGAACCATGAAAATGTTACAGTAAGAGGAAAAAGCTGATAACAAAGGACAAATAATGAATAATCCAATTTCTTTGAAATTTCCAGAATAGGCTGCTTAGGGCAGGCAAGGGAATAGGAGGTGGTGGTGAGGAGATTGGGGGGTGATGACCAAAAGAAGTGATTAGATGATCCAAAATTGATTGTGTTTATGGTTGTACAATTCTAGGAATAAAAGCTTCTAATTGTACAGTTTAATGGGTGAATTGTGTGCTATGTGACTTATATGTAAATAACACTGTGAAAAGGTAAATACCTATTGAAGGTTATTGGGTGTTTTATGAACAATTGGAAAAGGACAGGATAGGTTTTAGGCAGAGGAGTAAGGTAGATGCACTTGTGATTTAAACA